GCTAGAAAACATACTATCTTCATACTTCTCCACTCAAACTCTCTATTGACTTGATCGTTGGAGGAACCACCAGAGATCTCAACTCTGACCTCTTACGTGTTGTTTGTGTGTAAGATAAAATTCGTTGCCCCGAGCCTAGCTGTCTAAAGGAGATTGATGACCCTAACATCTACATAATCATACATAATTCCCTGTTAAATAACTGGCATCAACATTTAAATTTAATTTGGGGTAATAATCATCAATTTATTTATTTATTTTGTGATTTAGACGATACATTCTACTTTATTTGACTTCATTATGAATACGTAAATATATTTTTTTTTCTCTTTTTTAATAACTCAGCTTGGAGTAGAACCCAAGATCATAGGGAACTTTTTTTTTGGATGAAAATGACCGTAGTCTTATTTTCTTCCATACATTCCAAACATAGACCTGAGGGTGTATTTTAAAATACATTTGGTAACTCATGAGGGAGCCAATGACCATACAACTCAGAAGATGCGGCTGCTGCGGTGATAGAATGCGCAGGGTACAATAAGAGATCTATGAGTGTAGGAAATCGACACCATCGGATTTTGATGAAGAATCCAATGCATTCATGTACAACATGTGGAACTTGCCATGGTGGGGAGATGGTAGGCTTTAGGATACAGTTGATGAGCACTTGAGCATCGCTAAATATATGACAATTGAATTCTTTGAGAGTACTTGCAAGTTTAAGAGCCTCAATGATGCCATGAGCTTCGACAATAAGTGGAGACGATGAATTAACTTTTCGAGATGAAATATGAGACACATTGCCCTCTTTTGTATGCCTGATTAGACCCAAAATTATCGAGGCTGTCGAATGAAGCTCCGTCTACATTAATTGTAAGGTGCACCGATGGGTGTGACTTCCAATTTGACTTATGCGTGGATTTTAATCATGTTATAATGCTCGTGGTAGGCAATGTTGATTGCAGGGCAGTGTGATACTTATATCACCAGCTCGTTTGATAATGGACGGGATGTTGATTGGATGAATTGCAAATGTGAACTCACATCTCGCTTTCCATGAACACGAACATTTAGTAATGGCTCGAGTGCTAGTAGCTTTATCACATTTAACCCTCTTTATGAGGCTAGCTTGAAGTGTAGAGGAATGAGGGAGAGGTGAGGAGGCTACAACAGTTCATGCTTGACGCGTAACGGCGCAATCAAATAACAGGTGGTCCACAGTTTCGGCATGTGCTCTACAAACTGTGCAAGTTGGATCAATAGACAGTATTGCTACAGATAGGCGAGCACTTATTGGCAACGGGTTGAAGAGAGCGCGCCGCACAAAATGTTTTGTGTGAGAAATAATGTCACTATATATGCTTCCACAGAATATTGATTGTTTCATCAGGTGGAGGTTCCTGACGAGTGAGAGATTGAAGGAGTAATAGCATGACTTGCCTGTGAACGAACCACCACATGAAGGGAGCCATAGCAGAGTGTCTGCACGGCAAGGATCCAAGGGATTGATGGTTGTAGAGGCAAAATAGCATCACCTATCTCTGAAGAGAATAAACCGTGAATGACTGATACATCAATTCCGTGATGTTATCGTTCCAGTTACTAGGGTTAGGGGAGGGGTTGTCACGCCCCGGGCCCACAGGCCCGTTCGCACGTGCAAGTCGTCGGACCCACCGAGAGTAACTCGATGTTGGCTAAAGTCCACTGCTAAAATGCTATAGCACTAGTTGTTCTTGGGCCTTGGGCTTTTCTTTATTTAAACCACTAACAATTCTTCACACTAGTCCATATGGGACTAAAGTGAGGATGTCACAGGAGCCTTGGATCGAGGGCATCCATCTAGCTTCAAAGATGCGGACTCGGGTGCCGTTGTATATAGGCCAGCATGAGTTTCCAAGCAATAACTGGAGGCAAAAATGGATACCAGTACGCCAAATGTGTGAGGATGGACAGTGGAGTCTAACTGAGAATAAACCTGAGGAGCTAAAATATTTTTTGCCTTCAAAAATTAGTTGCCATTGAGAGCTCGAATTAGCTATGATGAGTTTCCAAGCAGGTTTCCATAAAAAGGCCCATGTCTGCATGCTTGAGGTCTCTAGCTAATTAAAACCCAAACCACCATCAGCTTTTGGCAATTTTAGATGATGCCAAGCCTTCAAGCGCGCGTGTCTTCTCCCAGTTTTTAGACCCCAAAAAAAGGTTCTCGCAACATGCTAAGAGGGGATTGAAGCTAAAGATGCTTTGATCAAGTTTTCTCGTCTGGCGTACGTGCGACAATAGGTTTTGCTTCCATCCTATAAGCTTTCTATCAACTTTATCATTAATTAAGAAATTTGAAGCTAGCTAATTGGCGTCGACTGACAAAACAAAGGGCTTCCGAGATGAGAACCAAATCGCTCCATTAGTTCGACACCCAAGGAAGAATCAAGCAAGAAGTTATTTGATCTGCTACAGATATGTTCGAGCTGAGCAACATGCTTGCATTCGGAGAAATTTACTAACTACCCCGACGAAAAGAGAGTGAAGATAAAAAAATGTACTTAATTTCGTGCATCATGTTTGTAGAGGGGCATCCTTGGTGAAGAACTCAAGATGGACGTCGAGGTGGAAGAGGTACAAGCTTTGATAGTCT